GTTGGAAAAAATCATCTTCTGTCTGTGTTTTCCTGATAGCTCTTCCACTGACAACTCTGGGATAGTATATGTCCTAATCTTAATCCTAATTTTAGAGCCCAGTTAAGAGTTCAGGTTTAACTACTACTCAGTACTTTTGAATTTTAACAGAGTTTACAAAAGTGAATCAACAATCTATAGGAAAATTGTGAAAAATAAGGACTTTGCATTGTTTTGAGTTCCTTCTTGTACTGTCCTGCTCAAGCTAACTCTGTGATAACTACACCTTATAAATAGACACATAAGTATGTACCGTAATCAGAAATAGCCACAGATCCTGCTGAGCTTGTTATGCTGTCTGCTTCCAGGAATTTCTCACTTCCTCCAATCTGGCTCTAAAAACTCTGATTTTCCACAGTGCTGTAACTGAGTTGTTACTCACTGAGTCATTCACAAGTTTAAGCCACCAGAAAAATAATGCAGCACTTGAGTTAGTGTCCAACTGACACAAGCCTTCTTCTAGCATGTCTAAAGGAGAAAGTTCCAATTTTCTTATGTGTTTAGTTAGCAAAAAGAAACTGTATGCATCAAAGACTTTTTTCAAACAGCTGAGAGAAAGTGACAGGCAAGGAAGTAGACAGTAACTGTACTCAAGTAATTTAAATATACAATATGCAATATTTCTTCTTGAGCATACTTTTTTTGACTCCTGCATGTCTGCTCACCCCTTCTCTCTGAATGAGCTCCTGCCTCTACTACTAGTGATATTCTGTCCCATCATTCCCAACTGAGTCCCATTTACAGCTCTGGGTACCAGACTGCCTCACTCCTCTTTCTGCATAATGTCTTCAGCCAACTCTGAACAAAACTGATCACTAGACTCCAGTGTCATCATGCAACTCCACAGAAAGATTATGTTTCATATCTTTTTTTTAAAAAAGGAGGTTAATGTACCTATGAGAATTTTCTTCTTTTTTAATCCGAGTCACCAACAGTTTCCCTTTGCAATCAAAGGCACATGGACAGCTCCAGTATGAGCTTATACCTCTCTTATTAAAATCCTTTTCTAGTTTCACACTTACTTTATCTGAAGGTTTTGTCTCTATTCTTGATGTTTCCAAAGTAAAGTGTGTAAACCTAGAAGGGAGGCAGGTTATAAGATGCATCCTAATTATCAGCATTTTCTGTATGCCTGTGTCATTGAGCTGATGGCTGGGGATGTACTTGGAGGCACCAGTCTCACACAAGAGATCTCCTCATTTGTTTAACAGCTACAGATTTTGCTATAGGGTCTAGAGCATTGCACCACCTGTGCAGGTCTCAACCAAAGGAACCTGCCGCGTTGAAATGAAATAACCTAATATCAAGATGCAAATCTCCATCTTCAAACCAGGTTTGTGTATCACACTACAGACAAATTCCTTAAGAAAATTACTACCAACATATATACTTAGGGAAACCTTCTTAATAAGCCCTGTCACATCATATATATGGGTACATTATTAATGGAATTTAATGTCCCTAACATAATTAATTTATCAACAAACTTTCTCATTGAATAGGAAATCAGATTTGTTGACAAAATAATTTTTATCATGACACGAAAACACCAAAGCAGTGGTTAGATTATTTTCTCAATTTTTTTACAGGTTGCAAACTTTCCCAGCTATTCAGTGAAGGACTTCTGTCAGGCTGGTCATGGCATTATCACCAAATAGTCACTGCAAATTTTTCTTTCACTGGCCACATTCTTCTTCCACTGCACACTTCACATTCCTGATTTTTTTTTTACAGTTTTTCTTAAAATTAGCATTCCTGTGCCAGTAACTGCAAATTATTGCATCATTTTAGTAAAATACAAGTATACCACATTTTAGCTTTTCAGCTACACAACTGATATTTATGGAAACCTTCCGTTTTTTTCTGCATCATTAATGTTATAATGTTACCATTTCCAGGGATTGAAGCCTGTATCTTTTTTAGGATTCTGTTTATTTCTAATGTTCCTTGAACTCATTTGTATTATCATTGCATTGCTGGCCACATATTTCCTTCACAACTATTCAATTAAATATGATATTTTTATTTTATAAACTTGATTGCCATTAATCTGACTTTTGCATCTTTCCTGATTTTTATACAGTGATTGCAAGTTTTTCCCAACCCTTCATCACTGAGGCTGAAAAAAACCATTTTAAAGTTTTTGGTGTTTTTTGTTGTTGTTGTTGTTGTTGTTGTTTTGTTTCTTTTTTTTTAGTGCAGAAAGATGTTTTCATAGTCAACCACAAATCTTTTCCTCTCAATTTCATATTTAAATTTAATCTTTCTTTCAAAAATCTCTCATGACAGTGAAGTTCTGTCATATTATTCCTTGTCACTAGGAGACTTAAACCTTTCGAAACATCAGGGATATGTACAAATATATATCCTTTCCTTACTAAAACCTCGTGTTTGCACATGCTGAATGCATGCTGCACTCAGTGTCTTGTAGAAGTCCAGTCTGTAAGCGAATGGATATTTATCCTTCATGCAGATTATTTCTGAAGAAGTTTATGTCATATGGCTTGGCACAAAGCAAATCAAATCTTAAAGATCTCCACCCATGGAGATCCAAACTCCCATTAACCACACCAAAAGTTGTTGAAAGTTAAAACAGAGCACCTTGCTGATTAATAATTCTCTCTTTGTTAAAGGAGAAAGAATATTAAAAATCGCTGTTTTTTATAAATTTATGTTTTCTGAGGAGAAGAGTTTATTGAGTGATTCAAAAAATCTGGTCTGCTCATCATCTTTATAAAATTCATTACAAATTTTTTAGTAGTGAAATAATAGTATTTCATTTAAATTATTCAAGGCAATAAAATCTAAATGTTACTGTGAAGAACTGCTGAAAGGTTTCATTATACTCTATTATTAGGAAAAAAACTGGCAGAAAAAAATTGAGTGCTGATAAACGAAAAGTAATGCAGATGAAAACAGATAAACTGAAGTACTGATAAACATTAAAATACTGAAAGTAAATAGCTCTATTACTTATTATTATCATTCAAGAAGGATGCCCTGTACTTTTTACAAATGCCATTCAAAAAAACTCATCAAATCAGTGCAAGCTGGAAGAATGGTAAACAGCACTAGAACAAATTCTGACACTAAACCATAAAATAACAGAAGATCCATTCCATTACTGGATTCTTTCTTCACTACCAAGATGAGGCTACTGCATGCCATTCTAGCCATCTTATCCCAGTAGAAAAATAACAGAGGTAAGCTACAGAAGATGTGGGAAGACATGGATAGTCAGAAGTATGTCTTATGAAAAACAGAACTACCTCTGCTTCTGCACAACAAAAGATGGGGGCTAGAAAAGAAACAAATCCACAGCAATGTAAGGGTAAGGACCAGTGTGAAGTTATCCTCTGCTTTTAACCATGCATGAAGATGAGGGCACTCATAAAGGGTTAAGCAGCTCTTAAAAACAAACAAGAGGAAGTGGGATTTCAGGTTTTTATTTTTTTTTTTACAATCAGTGCACAACTGAACTGTTAAACTCATGCAACCTGAAGTTTTTCTAAGCCTGAAAGCTTAACTAGGGTTCAGAAAAAGCCTCTGATAAACTCAGGGAAGAGAAGTAACAGCTACCGCAGGGTATAAGGCAAAATGGTCTGGATACAGCCCTGAAAACATTCACTTTTTAACTGCTGGAAGCTAAAAGAACACAACTGAGGAAAGATTACTCTGCATTTCTGCTTTTTCTTTTATGCTTTCATAAGTAAGCATAACACAGCACCCTCAGAACTGACTACACTAACCTTTGTTACATTAATAAAAAAAGATATAAAGTTTACAAATACCACCAAAGTCTTCTCTCTTCCCAGTTTTTCAAAACCAAACAAAATTTAAAAAAAAATCAAAACAAACACAAAACCCAAACACACAGTCTGGATAGTACCTGCAGTATGCTTTTCAATGCGAATGACAGTAGGAAAATAATTTTTTTTTATTTAGGTGTACCTCCACATATGAATTAAACCTTAAAAATAGCAATGTAATTTTGCTGATGTAAGGGAAATGGAGATAAAGTAACATGGCTATGCCAATAACCAATTCCTTGAAAGAGTAAAAATAAGTATCTCTGATCTCTTTGCTTTCAGTCTTATTTTTGTAACCAAATATTGCCGTTTGCTTTCCTCATGTTGATGGCATAGAAAAAAAATACTGTATATGTGATGGAAACACAAAGCAACATCTTTCACTTTTTTTCATCATCATTACAAAGTAATTCTTTGCATGAAGAACAATTATTTTAGATACAATTTCTATGCCTACTTTTATATAGAACCACATGGAATTTTATTTTCAGGCCATGAAGCTGCAGCTTCTTCACTGGGTCAAACACCCAACCTTTTTTGATGAGTTGATTGGCCAAATTTGTACTCACACACAGAGCTCTAAAATGCAATGCCAGATGTGTAAGAGGGTCTGGTGCTCTCACCGAGGTGAAGAGGTTTGTACGGTCTAATGTGCAATACCATAGCCAACTTCTTGCTACATATTACAGACCTGCAATTAAGAAACCAGGAGCAATACACTAGGATTCAAATTTTTCTGCACTAATTTTATCACCTGCACTCATAATTTCTTCTGATCTGCCACTGTCGAAAAACCTCCACCCTAGGAAGAGGAAGCAGCAAGAAAAGCTCAAAACTGCTGATGAATATAGACTTGCCAAGCAAGTTGGAAATACTTTAAACTGCAGCCATGTCTCAATAACATGCTCAGATTAATGGTCAGTGTAAAACCCTTGATCAGGTTAATGTGTCTGGTTGATCTGAAAGGGCTGGCTCTGGCAGTAAGGCCTTGCCTTTTATACTGATTCCTTTGTATGTCAGAAAGAGATCACCAAGGGATTGCTTCCAGAGACTGAATATGTCTCAGCATATCCAAAAAGGTCTTAATCCACTCAAAGTGGGAGTATCAACACTTACAGCACACGAGAGGCTGCAAAGTATCTGTATTGCCTTGAAGCAGCTGGGGAGCTAAGCCTAGGAAAAAGATACTTGTTAGTCTGGCAAGTCAACAGAAGACCCACTCTTCATGACTCAAATGTAAAGACATTTGAGGAATTACACACTCTTTGTATTGCTATCCATTTCATAGCCTTACAGCAGAAGGAACCAGTAGTCTACAGGGTATATCAGTACGTACATAAAAAATTCAGTCAGTTGAAAAATACTGAAGGTTAATTTTCAATTAAAAAGGCCATTTTATTGTATATCTCCATCTCCAAACCTTCGCTTTGAGGAAAAGCTTTAGGGTTATTTTCATCAACCTTGAAATGAGTGATTTAAACAATACAAGTGCTACTGCTCCATCAGCCATTATTGTGGTTAGGACGAACTTCAGCACCTGTAAAAAGTCAAGAATCACAGTCCACAAGTTATGATGACTCTCTTGAGCACACTAGTGTTTGAATATGTTTATAATAATTTGATTTAATAAGCAATGTTTAGGAAAAATAGCTGTGAAGAGGTAGAGTGACATGACATTTTAGATTTTGACAGAATCTCTGAAATTTTTTCCTTGATTATCAAAACTTGTGTGTAAAATTGCTGGAGATGTTGCACAGAAAAACAGAACCCAGATAACTGAAACAGTTGCTAAAAAAAGTCCTTATCACAGTTTTAAAATAATTATTGTACTAATTATTTATTACTGTGATTATTTTTGCAGAATGTGCAAGTATAAATTATTTACTTTGACAGGTACAAAAGATGTATTTTAGAGATGTAGCTGTGCTGCTGCTCAGTGTCATATTTAGGGAAATATTTTGCCTGTTCAGGTTTCTAAGAGGAAAGAAAGACTGACATCCCCCAACCCACACCCACACCATAGCTTATTTATAAAAAAACAAGATTACAAAACCATGAAGAGTGAAATCATATGTAAGTAGAGGTTTCATATTATAGTGTAGCACAGAAGAAATTTAGATGGTTAATAAAAAATGTTCAAAATAAATGTCACATAAATACATATAATTAGTTTATAAGTGACAAAATTGTTACTGTCTGCTGTATGTACATATATTCTATGTAACTTTTAATCTGTACTATATATGATTCATATATACAGTAAATGTATATTTGACATAAAAGAATTTATTTTGCAATATAAAATGGAGAAAGTCCTTCAAGGTATCAAACCTTACTTTAAGATTATTTAATTGGTACCACTGATACAAACCTGTAGTGAAGTTTGTTTTCCATTTCCCACAAACCTCAATTTTTTCATAAATAGTTCTGGTATAATTAAACTTCCAGTCTGAAAATCATAAATTTTTATTTCACTCCAAGGGTCTTCTTTCTCAGTAATTTTTCATCTTTAATTAGCTGGATCAATGAGAACACAATGTTCTTTAATGACTAGTAAGAAAATTATTTGAATCAGTGGTATGAAGCAAGGTGAGATAAAAGGACTTAAATTAACCACTCTGCATGATATTTAGGCACCTACAAGGAAGTCTGGAAGACACTGCAGCCTGAATTCACAACAACAATATAAAACTCTGCATTCACCTGCTGCCTCAGGACACTGATTCCTAATAATGGAATCTGATTGGAGCTGATCTGATAAACACCCCCAGAAAACTATACAGGCAGATGATCACCAGTGGCTGTCCTTTAACTGGACTGCACTACATAACCGCGTGCTTATTCCCAGCCCGTGAGTGGTGCCAAAACGCCTCAATTTAAAGCAGATACAAGTGGCTAGCAAAATGTATGCAAATATGTTGAAGAGCAGCTTTTAAAGTGGTAACTGGTTCAATTTCTGATCATCTGACTGCACGGTTACAAACAATCTTCTTTAAGTGGTCATGTCACCACAGCTGCAACCTGCCCTCTACATAATAGCTCTTTATTACAGAGCACTCACACATAAAATGAATTATCACTATCTGCTTCCCTCATTCTCCCAAGGGATGCTAACCATGTCAAATAAAAATGCTTTGCTTAAAGGGATAAAAATGGGACTCAGAAAAAGATTTTGCAAGTGTTGGAAAGCACAGAACTCCTAAAGATGGTATAATCCTTTACTATATGGAAATAGGAGCTTGTTCAGAAAACCTATTTCTGTGTTTCGATGTAAATCAAAAGGATATATATAATAAGGATATATATATATATATAATATATATATAATATATATTTTGTTCACTATCATTAATAGTGAACAAAAATTCACTGCATTTAATAGATATGAACATTTTAAAATCAGCATATTTTAAAGCTTGAAAAACTTCTAAATCCTCTTCCCCTACATCCCCAATCTCCCCTTCTAGTTTGTTGGCCCTGCATCCCACTCTGAGGCACAGAGATATACACACACCCAAACCTAGATCCCTGGCAGTTTGGGGCCAGAACTGCTTGGCAGTCAGATACCCATGGATTTTACTGACTCCGTGTTGGCTACAAAGGTGAATCTGCAAAACATGTGTCCTCCTTCTAAGCATCACTACTGTTCGTACTTTCCACAAAGCTAACAGAGGATAATTCATATCATGTTAACATCAGTTCCAAATGTGATCTTTAATGCAAAACCTTGACTTTGGGTAGTACATTTTGGTTTTCATTTGTAATAGGTTTTCAGAAAAATAATGGACCAGGCAGTTGTGTTTCAAAACTCTGAGATTAATACTATTTACTTAATCGTGGGTCTTTTGATCTGTCATATTTCAATTATATTCAAATTTTCATACTGAGAGTAAACATCAAAACAAAATGGAGCACAGTACCTAGCTAGTAACTGGATATGACACTCTCCAAAGCCAAAGTTTTGCATAAAATACACCAAACAACTACCAAAGTCAGTTACAAAATAAATCTTATCAACCAGTTAAAAATGTCCCAATGGTGGCTCCCACTCAGACCTCAAGCCACTTGCAAGAAGGAAGCAGCAGATAGTAAATGAAGCAGCTTGGCTTTCAAAGCACCTCAGCTGGCAAAGCACCGAGCGCCGCAGACACTGGGGGTTCAGTCGTGCCCTGAAATGCCTGGTGGAGGGATCCCAACACACCACCTGAGACAAAGCTGCCTGCAGCTTTGGAATGTGGCCACTTGTGGAACAGCCAGAGCAGTACTTAGTTTCTAACTCTGACTTGGAGGGAAAGTCTTCACTAGGAAAAATTTTGAAACCTATTCTTGGGTAAGGTTGAAGGTGAAAATTAGGTACTCACATTTAAATCAAAAGTTGTTGTTCATTAAGACTTTGCTTCAGTTAATAAATGTTCAATTATTTTTTTCCTTAGTCCTATTCTACATTTTTTTCTTTTTCTCTTACTTTCTAGGCTTTTATTTTAAAATTCAGTCTCGTTAAAACTTATGGATAAGATATAAAAACATTATTCCATTTTACTGACACAGTGTAATTTCTGAGGGTAATATTTCACATAAACATCACAAAATTCATAAGCAATGTGAGAACTCATTTGAATAGTTTATTACATCCTTGATTTGGTATAAATAAAACTGATACATCCTACTATTTTCATCCCTGTCATGCAATTCCAATATTCATTGCTGCAATAAATTAGTCTTATGAACAACGAAACATCATAAAACAAATTCAAGAGATGCTGTAAATAGGGAACAAAAAGGAAATTATCTAGTGCAATCTTTTTGAGTGCAAACCCCTTGTAACATGTTGCAACCAGCCAGTTAATAATTGCTTTGTAAATCTGAAATGAAGCAGAGGGGATAAAACTAACAAACAAGTCATAAAGTACAACTGTTACTTGTTTGGAATGATTACGATTCCCTAGAGGGAAGAGGGGCACAAGAAAGCTAGTTAATGTTCAAGCATCGTCGTCTCCAAGCTCAGGAGTGATGCATCTTAATGAAGAGGAAGTCAGGCAAAAATGACAGGAGGCTAATGTGGATGAACAAGGAGCTCCTGGACAAACTCAGACACAAAAAGGAAGCCAGAAGAGGTTGGATGCAAGAACAGGCAGCCTTGGAGGAATACAGAGAGATTGTCCAAGCAGCCAGGGACCAGGTTAGGAAAACTAAAGCCCTGATAGAATTAAAACTGGACAGGGATCAGTGATACACAGTATCATAGTATCAGGTACCTCAGTGATAAAGGAAAGACTAGGGAAAATGTGGTCCCTCTCCGGAAAGGAATAGAAGACCCGGTTACCCCGGACATGAAGAAGGCTGAGGTGATTAAAGACTTCTTTATCTTGGTTTTCACCAACAAGTGTTCCAGCCACACAGCCCAGGTCACACAAGGCAAAGGCGGGGATTGGGAAAATAAAGAACCATTCACTGTAGGAGAAGATCAGGTTTGAGAACATCTAAGAAACCTGAAGATGCAAATCCATGGAACTCGATGAGATGCATCTGCTCGTTCCGAGGGAACTGGCTGAGGAAGTGGCTAAGCCACTATGCACTGCATCTGAGAAGTCATGGCAGTCCACTGAAGTTCTCAATGTCTGGAAAAAGGGAAACATAACCCTCACATTTAAAAAGAGAAATAAGGAGGACATGGGGAACTACAGCTCTCTTAGTCTCACCTCGGGTCCTGACAGGACCACAGAGTAGATCATCCTGGAAACTTTGCTAAGGCACATAGAAAACAGGGAGGTGAATGGTGACAGCTTCACTAAGAGCAGATCACGTCTGACAAATCTGGTGGCCTTCTAAGACAGGGTCTATTATTGCCACTGTCAACCATGTTCAAAATCTCATAACAAAAAACTTGTTTTTATGTTTCCTCCAGTGTAGCTCTCATACTTGCTGTGATGGTTGTGACTTGGCTCCCTGCCAAATGCCCAACCCCCCAGTAGCAGCCCCTCTCTTCCCCCCTTTCTACTTCCCCCAGGGCAAAGGAAAAAAACTATGCAAATTGAAGAACCCGAAAATCAAGCTAGTTATATATAAAAAATATATTTTATGTATATTACATTTAAGATGCTATATACACAGCAAATGGGAATCCAAACACCCCCCAAAGGGATAGGGAAAGGGGAAAAAGGGACAAAAGGAAACAAAAAGGGACACTGAATAGATATGCGCAATCAAACCCGAGAACTAGTAAAATAACTAGTAAAACAAATCTCACCACGTCCCTTAGAAAGAAACAGGATTGACACATACACTGCCAGCACTCCCCAAGCCTCCACGTGGCAGGTCAGTGGATGCTGCAGACCTCAGCCTTAGATAAGCGAGACCAATGCAGGGACCCACTGTTCCCGAACTCCGGCGGAAGAGAAGAGAGAGCGAAGGCTTCTCCTCCCCTCTTATTTATACCACGATTTACATAAAAATTGTATGGAATACTAGGAACACTGCCACTTCCTTGGTTACAAACTGGTAACCAGGGAAGGCCTAGATTAAAACCACCACACTTGCGCTGGAAAATACATATAATCCTTTTGAATAAATAATGTGTCACACAAAGTATATGCTTGCACAGATGCTGAATATTTACAACAAATTTCAGTATTATTCTCAACACCCACTAGTCTCTCTCCCTTATTCACCCAGAACAGAATTTCTCAGGTTGGACAGAACATATAAGTTTAAAAATCCAGGTGGCACAAGGAAAGGGTGCCATCATTGTGTCAAGGACATAAAAAGATAACTTGAAACAAGAACCCTGTTGCAGTTTGGCAAAATCACAAACAACTACAAATAGAGTTATCTAAAGGACAAAGACTGGCAAATTTTATAATTGGCCCTGTTACCATTTTTAGCTATAACACTCCAGAGTTTTCAGGAACATATCACTTAATGATAAATTTTCTGTCAGCGCAATGGCTTGGAAGATCTTCACCATTAATGTGCAGCCAAAATGTCATTCCACAGTATGCTGCCACATTACAACATTGACCTAATTTGTCCCTCATATTGTATGTTCAACATAAAATCAGAAATAATGAAAAAAAAGGTACTTTGTTGTCTCATAGGTATTTCAAATAATTTTAAATAGTATTTTATTACCAGTGTTCCAAAACTAGAGGCATAATAAGGGAATGAAAAGGGAGAATCAGAAAGATAGATTTAAGTTGTTTAAAACTTGTAGCTCATTTCTGGGCATTCTCTTGGTGCCAATAAACTTTTTTTACTTAAAAAAAATAATCAGATATTTATTTTTAACAATCTTAAGTTACTTAGTTTGTGTTCTTAAAAAAAATTATTTGCCCTAAAAAATGTGAACATTTTAAATACTCTACTTCAATATTTTACTCATAATGTATTCTCCTTCTCCCCCACCACAAAGCCTACACCAAATAAAGCGTTAAAATTCTTCCAGGCAAATATGCATATGCCTCATGTGAACATCTCTTACCTTGATTTCATATCAGAATATGAAATATCATATCAGAATATCATATCAGAATATCAAATCATATCAGAAATATCATAACAGAAAGGTACCAATTGAATCCTTCCGTTATTATCAAGAGACATAAACAGTTAATGCACTTCATTTTTTTTATCACAAAGAGAAACAAGCTGTTATCATATTATTTTTACGGAATATAAGTTCTGGACATTTTTAGAACCCTAAGAACTCTCAGGTGACGGTAAGACCTCAGATGACAACTCACGTAACTCTAGTAGTACTTTACTTAATATCTAGTATACATATGCTTCAATTCTAGGACAAATTTAAGTATGAAAATATTATGGAGTAACCGTATAAACGTGAAAAATATATTTCAGAGAATTTGAGGAAAATCAGTAGACAAGAAGATAAATATTTCAGAAGGTTATATGCTTAGCATAAATCAAATTGAAAAGGTTCCTGGCTGTAGAATATGTTTCTGTGCTCTCCTGGCTGATGGAGCATTGCTAAACTTGGTCTGAGTCATGAGCTGTCAGAACAGAAATGTCTTAGGAACGTTTTGCTCATGCTGTTTGCTCCACAAGAAATTAATTAACTTCATTAGCAAGATATTTAGATAAATTATTACATGTATTAATATGTTTTTACAGATTTAAATACTCCAAAATCTTGAAAGTGTACTCTTATACTAATGACTACTCTCTGCCATCAGAAAAAAAAAGTAATCTACTATTCCCTCCAGAAACCAAGTAAGGAAACAAAAAAACATTGACAAATGGAAATAATAAAACATCTAGGAAATATATTAGGGCATCAACTGTGACAGTTAATGGCCTGTTTGGCATCTCCTTGAGAAATGAGAGAGAATGAAAGACAAAAGTTGAACAGAACTTTTTTTTCCTTGATCCAAAGATGCTTCAAGAAGGCACAAATTCAATGCAACAAAACCATAATCACTCACAGAAAAATGTTACAAGTCACTTACAGGAACCAGGAATTTTTTTATTTCTTCCAAGGCATGACTCATACGAGAATACGCCTCCCCAGGCGGAGCAAAAACTTCAATTAATACGTGGAGCTCATCACTCAAGTGTGCGTATTTGGCTTCTCCACTTTTCCTTAGTTCTTCCTCCTGTGAAAAAAGGGTAGGTTTGGGTTTTAGAACTGGAAATCTACTAATTTTGCAATGATTTAGCATTTACAGAAAACATGATAGAAGGACATAATATAAGCAGTCTTTAAAACCCTTTGAGAAATAAAAGTCTAGTACAAGCCACTTAAAGATTTAAAAATCAATTTTGAGTGTTTGAATGATAAAACCAGTATAATTATCATCTACAACAGATTTTAATCAGCACAGTGAAAAAATGCTAAATACTCCAAAAGCAAGTAGTGACATATTAAATCCATAATTGAAAAGCTGCATTAATCTCTCTGAATCTTAGCTCTTGACAAAAAGGTTCTTTAATGCATTTCTGTAGCCTGAACATTTCAGTAATGCCAAAGGGAAAAATGCCCTAATACTTCTACTTGAGACACAGAATCATAGAATCACAGCATGGTTTGGGTGTGAAGGACCTTAAAGACCAGTTGGCTCCAGCCTCCCTGCCATGGACACAGACACCTTCTACTAGACCACGCTGCTCAGGGTCCCATCCAATCCGGCCTTGAATACTTCCAGGGATGGGGCACTGCCAGCTTCTCTGAGTAACCTGTTCCAGTGTCTCATCATTCTAATAGTGAAGAACCTTTTCCTAATATCTAATCTAAACTACTCTCAGTTTAAAGCCACTATTCCTTGTCCCTTCACTATATGACCTTGTAAAAAGTCTCTCTCTAGCTTTCTTGTAGCCTCCTTCAGGTACTGGAATGACGACCTAAGTTTATCCTGAGCCTTCCCTTCTCCAGGCTGAACAACCCAAATTCTCTTCATAGCAGAAGGCTCCAGTACTGATCATCTTTGTGGTCCTCCTCTGGACTTGCTCCAACAGGTCCATGTGCTTCTTATATGGGGATCCCCAGAGGTGCACTCAGTACTCAGTGATATCCAAGTTTCAGTCCCAGTTCTGATACAGAGCACCAATGCAATCCAGTGTGCATCAGTTAAGATGGTGAATCACCTCACCTAGATTTATCTCAACCATCTTTGGGTCCCAGTTTTTCACATATAAAACAAACCTAATAATCTCACTGCATGTTAGAGTAATGTTCTGAAAAACCAATTCACTTTATTACACAAAGCTTTGAGATAGCAAATGCAAATTTCAATACACATGCATAGTAGTAACCACTTCATAAAAAGTAAAGATATAAAATAGTGATCATGTTAATGGCACTGGCTATGACAACATAAGGAAAAATTTATGCCATTACTACACAAGATAGCCATAGGTAATGCTAAAGATATGATGAGCTGAAATCTCAGTCTTCAAAAATGTTTTGAGAAATGTAATTTAGAAGAAAATACGCATATATATAAAACAATCACAGAAAAATAAGTAAACTAATTTACTTGAAATTGGTGACGTTATAGCTTTTTAGTCTATACTAAAATAATACTTTATGAACATTTAGCTAAGATAAAAATTGTAACAACAGATCAAATTCTTACTGACTTAGCCTATTTAATTCTGCATTAACTTCACTTATTTTAGCCTTGACTAATTTACACCATTTCTTGACACCAAAAATATTTGCATGACTCTATGCTTCTAACAATAGGCATTCAGTTCTTTTTATCCACAGCAGGAGATCCAGCACCAATAACGATTTTTTGATTTTTCACAGAATACAGAAAGGTGAAATTCCTTTAATGAATTTCTGCAGCCTGCACATTTTAGCTCCAGAGGTCTAGACCTGACTCCAGGTTAAGTCAACATTTTGCAAATGACGATAAAAGCATAACTCAGTAAATGTGATCTATGGTTTTATTTTTAAAAGTTGAAAATTGACATAATTGTTTTCAACTGAAGCTTAAAAATTAAGATAAGCAGCACAGATGGCAAAGTATTTTTATTTTTACAGTTAAAGTACCTTTTGCATTTTAGCTTATCATTGAAATGTCTATAAGAACCATAGCATAATATAAGAGTCTATCATGATATGTTACAATACTTTTCAGTTTTCTGGAAAAAAATCCCCACACATTTGATTGCTGCTTCTGGAATAATATGACACAAAGTATTTCAAAAGAATTAAGTTTTAATAGTTCTAAAGCGACATCCTAGAAATTGCTGGAATTTTCTTTCATTGCTTTTTTAAGATTCTGGGAAAAAAACCAAAACACCAGAAAGCCCCAAAAGATGTCTTTCAGGAGAAGACTGTCAATAAACTTTGTAAAAATTATATATTGGATCTTTTTTTCAAATGTAGAAAAAAGTAAAAAAGAATGTATGGCTCATTATTTTGATGGGGATTTTGCACAGCTAAGACATCAGTAACGTGATTTGATAACGCAGACCTGTCTTACAGAAAGTTAGGTATATTCTTCTAGAGTGGTAACAATAATAATTATATTTCTCTTTTACACCCTCAACAAATCAAGGAATTCTTAAAACACATCATTTTATAACCTGCCTCCTGGGTTCAGCACATGCTTTCTGTCACTACTTGGCAGTCATTTCTGTAGCTGATAGAAAACTGCAGGTTGATGTCATAAGATTCTCAACATTCCATTCTGAGGATATCTAATGAGGTTTCTTCTTGTGGAACACAGGAAGACAAAGACTGAATTTTCCCACAGTACCTCTTCCCATAACAGGGTAAAATGTCAGAATAATGTTTCTTTTATTGCAGTGTGTGTGTGTGGATACAAAGAAATTTAACTCAAGGAAAGCCATGGAAGAGTAAGAACTCACGGACCATGCGAGCACTGTACCAAGCTTTGTTCCCCAAAGCCAGCAAATGAAACTGAGTATTTTGAGACTGAATGCAGCCTTACATTTAATTGTATGTCAGGTGTCAGACATCTAACAAGCCAAACAACAGACATAACTCACACTGTTGGGGAGGCACTCCTCAGTATGGAAGGTTATACCTACTGGCAGCTAATAACAGATTTCCAAGAGCAGTACAGATGAATGAGCTCTCCCAGGAGCATGTCAGGGTTACACCACCTTTGTAAATGTTCATTAGCAAGCAGCACATCTCAACTGCACAGCAAAATGGTCAGTGCTATGGACCTGACATTCACACTAATTCTATTTAGGATGAAAATACTGCCCCTTCTCTAGCATTGCAGGGGGTTTTTCTTCCTTGTAGCCTTGTTGCACAAAGTAAGTTCCCATTAGAAGCCAGAGAGCCTTCGTGGAGCTCAGCTTTGGTTTAGTTTCCTAGGAGAGGAGTCCTATTAGTGCCCTGTAAGCTCTGCTCACTATAAGTAATGGGAACTGGGAATGTTCAGGAGACTTTCCTCTAAACTGTATTTCTAAACCAAACTAAAACACTAATGAATAAACACCCCATGTAGCACTGGTAAGGACTGAGATGGGTTATGAGACTTTCTGGCACATGGTATATTAAGGCAGAATAGGTGACATCATCATAAATCTATTTTATATGGTGTTCTTTACAAGGCTATCTGGATGCTGATGGCCTTGCAAGGTCCTGACAGTCTCTAATGCACCAGTGCAATTACCTGAGGACTTGGGCTGTTTCTTGTATAATTTTGCCTTAACCACCTGTGAGGTCCAGGTATTCTCTGTGGTGTTGTCTGTAAGTTTTGTCAGATTCTCACAGCTTTTTATGTTCCATGATTCCCCACATCGTGTCCAGCAGTTTTCCAGACTCTGTTCAGCTTGCACAGCCTTGGTCAGGGTCTACCCAGCGGCCAAATTGTTTGCCCACAGCCCAAGCACAGAAATTATAACTGCTTAAGCCTACTCATGTAGACATGAATGAAATCACAGGGAAAGGCGATTTGTAATGAAAGACTGATGGATTCACTGAGGAGAACAACTCTGAAAACAACAAAAATGCAGTTAAGTCTCAGGCACTTATTTTAACGTAGAATAAAACAAACCTGGAACCTAATCAGTTCTGATTTCTAAAATGAATGGAATAAATTTTCTGTGCCTCTCTATCAGTGATGGCAATTGCTCTTAGTACTATCTCTCAGGTTAATAGTATGGTTCTTCTTAGTTTATGGTGATGAAATTTAACTTCACTACAGGTTGAGCACATCATGCTCCAGAGACAACTGCCCTCTCATCCTGATCCCCTTCCACTTCCTTCTGCATGCCAGTTCCCTTCATTTCTCAAGACTGAAAGAACCCAGCTCCCTCCACATTATTTGCTTAAGGCTTCCTTCATCCTTACTTGCTGCCTTACAGCATGTCTGTCACGTGGTGTTGAAGTCCATCCACCCTCCACCTGATGCATGGCTCCATAACCCACGCCCTCATAAAAGATAACAGGTATTCTGAAACACCCGTTGTGTTTTATAATTTTCAGCTGCTCAAAGCAGGGAAAATGAATTATAAAACTAAAGCAGAAATATCAGGAGTACCGACCTCTGTAAAAGTGAAGCATGTGAGTGATAAGAACATAAAGTCTAAGAAAAATGATGAGTTATGTCTGGATGTGAAAGCAGCCTTACCATTTTTTAAAAAAAGTATGTTGACAGAGAACTATTTTCTGTCTGGAATCCTGACCAAAATGCTTGAATAAAAATACTGGAATAAAGTTGAAAGAAGAAATGGAGTTTGCATGGCAAACACAGTTACACAGTCCAGATTGGTGAATAAAAAGTGTCCTCATAACAGTAAAACAACAAGATATCAAAGAATAATAGAAAAGAAACCTGCAGCAGGAATTGTGTAGATCCGAAAGATAAATTTCATCAATGCAGAACTTCCTACAATGTAACAAATACAGCTCTGAAAAGAAACAATGTGTACCTGAAGAACAATAAGAGAATTGCAGTTCAATTGCAATCTTGCAAGAATTTGCAAAGAAATGCATAGTGCAGCGACTGGACAAAGATGTAGCAGTGCTGCTGCTACACAGGCATTATTCATAAGATCACTAGGCAATGATACAGAATAAAATTCATGAGCATGCAGTTTGACAAACGCAAACCTATTCATTTTTAATCTGGACACAAATGAAAAAATCAAGATGTTGTCTGCCACA